CAAGCCAGAAACCTGTACCAAGTGGACTGCAAACATCAGTCCAGTTTCTGTCTCCCGGCTCTATTTAAGTCTAGATTTGGCACTCCATATACCATGAGATTACTCTGACCTGAAACTTGCTCTCAGCATGTCTGGACAATTTTTCCGATCAGAGTCACATACCAAGTATCTACTATTTTTGTTTATTTTTTAAAGTGTGCTATGCTTAGGAAATAGGTTGGACCACACATTCCTGGAACCTCTGCAGCAGTATGTTATTAATGATACAGAGAAGTAGAAGAAAAAGAGCTTCTTATCCCCATGAATAGCAAGAGTAGAAACAGACTGTGGCAGTTTCCCAATTCTCTTGTCAAGAGAATTAGGTACAATTCTCTGTGTGTTACTGTGGTAAATTAGGGACAAAACCCGCTTCATTTTTGGCAGCACTATTTTCTTTAGAGGTCAGTTTAAACACTGACCAATTGCAGATGCCCTGTTTTTGAGCCTGAGGAGCACATCAGAATGCCTTGCACAGCACAGAATGAGGTACTCACTAGGTGCTCTCTCTGCATAGGATTTCTCTGGTAGGTGCTCTTCTTGCAGGGCTTCCTCTCAGCACTGACTGAGCAACAGAGGAGTCAGCAGTTTGGGCCCCATGCTCTCCCTGTTCCCAGCATTCTTCGGTAAGGGGAGGTTACAAGGAAGACCTCATCCCTATTTTTCACATTACTCTGCCTTGGGATCTGTAGTCCATTTCAACACAAATCTCCCAGAACATTTTTTCTGCTGAGAGTGGGAGAAAAAACAGAACAGTGAACAAAATGCCTTTCTGAGCTCTGGCCTCAGCCTCACCCCAGAAACTCAGGGAGCCTTGTTCAGGATTGGGGTCCTTCCTTCCTAACACCCAGGGAACTTTCTTTGTCCCTGTCTCACATAGTCTCTTACAAACACAGCCACTATTCTGGGTATGAGCCCCGTCACAGACACAGCAAGAGAAACACCAGTCAGTAAATTTGACTCCTATCAGGTCAAGTCCAAATTACCTTCTTGACAATACTGCCTAAGAAGCTCATAAAACAATGTGCCTGCTTGTTATATGACTTGGACAAACAGCATCAACCTTTATCTACAAGAACGTTTGCTTACTGAGGAAAAAAAGAAAACCACAAAACATAAAAAAGTAACATACCACAAGTCTATAATTTCTGATGGACCTTTAAGTTCCTCCTATTTTCAGACTTTTAGAAATGCTCCTCAATGTGTCAACTTAAAATATTCAGCCACTGAAATCCTTACTCTGTGAAGCAAAGCTGCCCCTTTGATTTGATTTGCAGAATGGCCTCACAAGTCAACATAATTCTGATTCCCCTGCTGATAGCAGCAACACAGCCGACGTCTGGCTGAAATGAAGTAATGAACACAACAGACAGTGCTTATTAAAGAATCAAATAAAACTCTGAATACATCAATCAAAAATAAGCATACAACCAATATTTTCTGGCAATTCAAAGCTGGGAGATGAAGAGGGAAGCACAAACCCAGGCTCAAACAGTAGGTTACTTAGGGCAGCAATTGTCATTTTTGTTTTATGGGTCTGCAATGCCTGTCTCAGCAGAGCCCCAACTCTGACGGGGGCCATTAAGCAATACTTCAGTAAAAAGAGAAATTAAATGAGTAACACCCAGCGAGATACTCCTGCACACAAGGTATTGTCAGACAAGTTTTATGTAGTGCTTTATAAATGCCAGTTGACTTCAGCAAGAATCAAGGGCATGCAGCATTTTGTGAGGAGGGTGCAGTCATTTAAAGCATTTCTCTCTATCTGCAGTAATCAAAACAAGTTATAGCTGGGCTACAACTATATGTCTAGTTTGAAGACTGCTTGTCTGTGTGAGACAGAACCATCTGGATTTATTTTACAGTTAACTTTAAAATATATATATCGGATTTCTTAACTTTTGCCAAACAACTGGAAACATAATGGTTTCTGCATGCTGTTAGCATCTCACTACAGCTGCAAATGTCCATTAGGACAATCTTATATAATTATATACTTATTCTTCCCATGAAATTGTTAAAAACCCAGCTTTTCCAAATAAGAGCATATTTTGTAGCAAAGAGGAAATCTTCCAGTTCACCAGGTTGGAATGGGGGAGGGAAGTCTTCTAAAGCAGAACTTTAGTCAAAGCTTTTTCTTTAACAGAAAAATTACAAGTCTTATTGTGTCACATTTTTCCAACTGTACCTGGAGAGTGTGCTCCAGCCAGAAATCTACAATTTCTTTCCCTTTTCCTTTCCTTTGTGGAAGAAGCTCATTCCTTCTAAGATTTTTCTTTTTCTAAAGGAGAAAAAAAACCACTCCCCCCACCCCCCACCCCCCCCCTCTGAATGTGACTTCAGTTCTCATCCTGCCCACAGTTCCATACTCTTGTTCAACAGAAAGTGTCAGTGACACCTGGTGCCACTGGGTGACTGCCCTTGGGAGCTGATCCCCGACAGCAAGGATCTGCACACAGAACATGAGCTGGCTGGATGCAGGCAAGGCTCCAGGAATGGGAGGTGATCTGTGTGTTCAAAGCACCACCATCAGTTTGGCCAAGATTTTCAGAAATTACCAATAACACAGCACACATCAGTTTTTAGGAGTCCGAGGTAACAATTCAACTTTCCAGAAGGCAGGTGCTTGCCTCTTCCAAAATAAGAGCCTTCGTGCTGTGTTTTCAATGTGTCCAGGCTCAAAGCACTCCAAGTCATTGGCCACTCTCAGAACATCTCAGAGCTAGGATTTTTTAGCGAACGAAAACAAAACTAATGGAAACACAAACAACTAGTCCCAAAAATTGGACACAATTCTGTGCAATGTGCTCTGGGATGACCCTGCCTGAGCAGGGAGGTTGGACCAGATGACCCATTTTGGTTCTTCCAGTCTTACCCATTCCGTGATTTTTCCAGGAGGTGAGTGACCTTCTGTACATGTTCTCAGGACCCTACAGAGTGAAGGGAACAAGTGCTCATATTGTTTTGAACAGCCATTCAGACAGAAAAATACTTCTTTTTCAGATGCCTGCCTGAAAATAAATACCACAAAATGCTGTAATGCTATTGATCTCATTAGAAAGATATCCTTGGTCAGAGACAAGCAACAGACCACTGCCCATCTTTGGGGCACACAGACCTCACAGAGCAGACTCCTCTCACCAGCACTGCCAGTCTGCTGGATCATCTCACCCATGTTACCCATACCGGGTTACCTGCAAGGATAAAGATAAAGCAACTGCTGCTAGTTTCTGTTATATGGGGTCTGTATCTCCTCTTCTACAAAGTTTCTCTGTTATCAGTATAGAAATAATTTGCACAACAACCTTACAAGTTATCTTAGAAGGCACAGCAGGTTTCTAGCATCCAAGCTCTATCTGAATAATTGGCAGGGAGGAGCTTGGCTGCTCTGTAATGCAGAAACTTGGCTAGAGTGATGCTGTTAGCATGAAACAGCAGCAGATCCAATGCCCAGAACTTGAACTGAAACTGTTTGTTATTACTTCACATCTGTACTGCAGCATCAGCCACAGGCCATGACCAAGTCTGGCCCTAATCCTTCTGGGATGAACTTCTATCTTTTAAACAGACAGGGGATGACAAAGGTGATTGAAAGGATTTAGTGCAACATGAAAAATAACTGACAGAGTCAGGAATTTGTGTTCCACTGAAATTTAATGGCAACTACCATAGGACTTGGATACTTTGGGAAAAAACAGTCAGGCAACCTGAACCTTTGCTAGGGCACAGGCATTTGCAGTCACAGAAGACTGTTTCTGTTCTTGCAAGGAATGAAAAAAGTTCCACAAAAGGTTTCTATCAGTAGCTGGCTGCTTTTTGCAGGCACTGGTGTGACAGTAGAGAGCACTGTGAGGCAGAAAGATAGGCAAGCAGTGCATGCAGGTCTGCTCAGAGATGTCATTCCCAGGATGGTCAACTCAACAGAAGGAAAAAGGTCCAGAGACCAAAGGGCTACTTCCAGTATCACACACTTGCCCTGACTCATCTCTTTGCCTCGTTTTCCCACTCTCAGGCAGAAGGCAAAGATCTGAAGAATTTATTTAAAGAAATATTAATACTCACATGACAGCTGGATCTTAGATACAAGCCTAGCTCCAACGACACCAAAATCTGCTCCTAACACTGTGGTGCAAGTTGCAGCTCTGAGGCAGGGTTTGCTCTAGAACAAATGCCCAGGCAGAGGATGTCATGTACCAGTTGCTCATGTGTGATCCCCAAGCCCTTCAGCCCTGTGGCCATGAAGGTCACAGCAGCAGTGAAGTACTGGAGTGGAAGAGGTGTGGCTCTGACACCAGGGGACCCAGCTTTGATCTTTGATGAACCTGGCTGTGACTTACCAGAGAAAGTTTCAGGCTTTCTTCAGCAGGAAGTCATTGAGCTCTTTACAGAAGTAGAGAATTTTTCAAAGGCTGGAGGGTGCACCTCTGCCTTTTTTTTTGGCAAGCTGTGCTCATGTCACCAGAACTGAGCCATGCTGGGCAAAGAAAGGCATTTCATAAGTTAGATGGGTACTGAAAGTGTTGGCACTGAAGAAAACCAAAACAAGAACTAGGGGAAGATGGTTTTCTGGTGGAGCACATGCAAGAGAAACGGACCTTGTCAGGATGCCACCTCTCCCATTGCCCATTGTTGTGCCAGTGCCAAGTCACTTGTGCACAGCATGACAGGAAACAGCAGTGCAATGCTCCTTACCCATATGCAGCAGTAAACATAGCATCGGCCTTGACAAGGGGACAACATCAAAGATGATACTTGTTTTATTATGGTCAACATGCAGGCATCATGTTATCTTAGTCATACCAAGACTAGGTAACTAAACTGCCAGGTTTAGTGTTTCAGGTCACATCAGGGAATAGTTTTACCAGCAGATGCAAAGATCGTCATTTGGAGTGGGTAGCACTCAAGGTCAGAGTCAGCAAATCCTCCTCTAAAAATAGACTGTACTTGCACAGTTAGTAAGGCTTCTTTTGTCATTCTGCTGCACTTCACAGGACCCAGTTACTTACAGCACCCACCTAAGCTTACAGGTAAGGCTAAGCAATATGCTTTTCCTGCTGTACTTCTGCTCCTTTTTCCTTCCTTTTGTACCTTGGTTTAGTAAAGCAGGGAGAGGACTGAGAACTGGAAAACTTGCCAAGGTAACTATTAATTTCATTAGCTTGTTGCAGAGAAAAAAAAATAAATTATTACAGTCTTTAAAAGGTTTTGAAAGTATAATATATAATTTTAGAAATTTTAGAAACCCAAACTTGTGTTACAGAAATCACTTTATAAATTAGGAAATTAGGTGCAGAAAGTGTAATTATCTTAGAGATAATTTCAATGTAAAAGTTAGGGAATTAAAATGCAATTTTTAAAGACTTTAACATCTGTCCCAGAATATTTTGCTTATTCTTCAATAATTGCTCCACCCTCCAGCCAAATCTAGCTTTTCTAATTGAATTAAAAATCTCTCAGATGATGCTGTGTTTTAAGTTTCTTTGGACACTCTAATAATATTTAATAAAATCTCAGCTTAATCTGTTTTCAATTAACCAGTCCAGTCAACAATAAAGAATGAGAGCAAAAATAAGTTTTTAAAAAGTCATATGTGGCTTAGAAAATCATTGAAATAACTGGTTAGTTTTGAATATTCACAGCAGGAGGTTCTGGGAAATAATTGCACAGAGGCTACAATTATTCTGGTTTTAAGCTGTTTAAAGATGACTGCAATAGATGAACTATTTTATAGTCCTTGAATGCTTTAAGCATGAGAATGCAGGGCTAAAATAAAGCAACTGAAGTACATGAATTTTGGTGAAGACTTGAACAGGACTAGGGAATACAGGATTATACTTTTTGCTTAAGTATCCTGCAAATCCACTTTTGGAATTTGGTACATTCTTTTTGGAGTCTTTTAGAAAAAAAATTTTTGAAAGAATTCTCCATCACAAGAAGTATTTGTAAAAAAGTAACCTTTTTGTCCTAGTGTTAGGGAAAAAAGCCCCAACAAAACAAAACAAGACATAACCCCACCCAAGGAGCCTTTGCAGTGCCACAGTTCATTGCAGTACCCTGGGGTGCAACAAGTGTGAACTTACAGGGGAAGCACACAGCTCTTCATGGCTGCTGCAGCCTTCCAAGTCTGAGCAAAACAGCATGGAGTGGCATATCAGGGAGCACCATTCTCAATGCATTTCATTAAATCATCTGACAGAGCAAGCTTTTGTCACTGCAGCTGACCAGCTCTCAGCTCAACTGATATACTTTGAGTTACAAAAAGCTTAGAAACCAAAGCACTGTTTATCCTCCTCCCAAGTGCAAACACTGTGCTCCAGACATGTGCATTGGCTTCTGCAAGAACTTTCCAGTTTATAAAACAGCCCTCTGCTTAGTCATACTCAAAAAGGGCAAGCACTTTTTCACCCTGAAGGGAGGTATGCGTCTGGCATGTGGGCTGGAAATGGAAGAACAGAACATTTCTTAAAAATTCAAGAACTTGATGAGTAGATCCTCCCTCACTGTTTCTGTAGATTCTCAGTCATTAGATCTGATTTTTTTTTCCTGCCTTTAGCACTGAGCAAGTGCTTATGTGAAGACTGGTTACTAAACTAGATTCAAGTCTTCTGCACATTTTTTGGAAGTATAGAAGTGGTATTCTCCATCCTTCTCTTGGGTCCTTCCCTCTTGTACACACTTGTTACAAACCTTGTTCCTCCATGAGTTCTTACCTAAGGTGGTTATTAAACTGAAAGAAGAAAGTAAATAAAAATAAAACCATTAGTTTTGCAGTTGTCTGTAAAGCAAAGTCTCAGTTTTTACTCCCAGGAGAATAGAAATCCAACAGCTTCAATGGTGTTAAATTCTGCCTGATAAATAAAAACATTCAAATAAGTCTGCCCTGTATCCAAGATCAGAAAAGAAAATGGAGTAATTTCTTAGTAACAAGCTCTTTATACACAGAAATGATTTCTCAATCAAAATTACAGTTTTGGGGTTTTTTTTCCTCTTTTTTGGTCTTCTGCTGGATTTAGTGTTCATGGCAGTAGATTAACTACTTTAGTCCCCAGTTTTGAGGGTCAAACTACCAATTAATTTCAAGGGCACTGTGTTTATCTCCTATTGCACGGAGGTGGGTATAAAGACCAGTAGATATGTTGTTACTTTTGTAGAATCCTCGTGAAAGGCTCAGCGCTGATAGGTAGTTTTCTTCCTTTGGCATCTTGGGAAAAAACTTCTGATGATATCACAGTTCCACTCCTTTTTCAGAGCTGACAACAGGTAGGAAGCAAAATCTAAAAGCATCAGAACAGGAGTATGATTAAAATCTGCCTCCACATTTACAAACAAGTTGTATATTTAGGTGTTTGCTAAATGCTAAAAACTTTCCGTTCCCAGCTAAACCAGGTGAATTTGTGATCACCTGGTATTTTCAGGGAGAAGTTGCTTTTAGACAACTCTGAGTACAAAACCAAGGCTTGTTCACATGTGCACACCAATTTAATAAAGCCAGCATCAAAATCACCACTGGCACAAGTGATCAATGTCATAAGAGCTGGGAGAACTTCCAAGAGCAGGACACATGGATGGCAAAGAATTAAACTATTCTGCTGTACAAATATGGGCTGAAGTGGGCATTAAGGCAAGGAAACCCTGTGCCCTGCATGACAGAACAGCTAATACTTCTAAAGGAAAGAGTAAGGAAAATTGTCTTCTCTTCATTTTTCTTCCCAGTTTTTACTTGTTTAGTCTCTCTCATTGCATATTTATGCCAGTGCTACTGGGCTCTGAGTTTACTGAAGCTTCAGGCACACAAATACAGCTACAAGTTGGCAGCCAGAGTACCTATGGTGGGGACCACAGCAGTGATGGAGGAACCCCCTGTGCCAGGGAGGGGTGCAGAAAAGGAAAGGATATATAGGCCCTTGCACAGGAACAAGGCAAATGCAGTCTTTGGCTGTGCATACCTGATTTTTTTCCTTTTAAGTCTCTACAGCTGACTTGGATCTTAACTCCCAGGCATAAATCTTGCCAAATTGTTTGGCATCTTTATACACGGCACTAGGGCTTGCACAGCACGTTGAGCAGAAAATATTAAGAAACATAGTATTTTGTTATGTAGCTAATGACTTACAGCTTTCACTCTCAAAGTACTCAGAAACTTCTACTACACATGGAAAACCAGCATTAGGAATGTACACAGCACCACCAAGGCTCTGGTGTTCACCTCTAGATAAAAAGCTCAGTTTTCCTCCCCCGTCTATGGGAATACCAAACTCTAGAGCTCATTACTGACATTTCCAAAAGCACTAACTCATTCCTACAAATTTTGTGGTGGGACAGGACCTTCCTTCAATTGAACAGATTTGAAAATGGGCCGCTATATTTTGTGATTTCACAGGGCCTTACTGGAAATTTTGGGTTAATTTGAGTGGTTCAAGGGACTCCAAACATGGTGCAGAAGGCAAATCTTTCACTGCCATATTAGTGCTCCAGCCACTAGACTGTATGCTCTGTCATGGTCTGAATTAAACAGATAGACTGGCAGATTTTTCTTTTTTTTCCTTGCACTTTATTTCCTTCCTCCCTGTTTTGTTAAAAACAAAATTAAAAAGCTAAAGAGCTGTATAAGAAATTCCATCTGGCAGCTGTAGAGTAGATAGTGAACATAAAGAAGAGATTCCTTTGCTATGCCTAATGCATGCTGCTTATCCAAATTAGCCACACAATTACTTCTATCAATGCAAAACTAGTTTAATGTTTTTTTTTCTAGTGCACAGCACTTGAGAATGACTTAAAATGCAGTGTAATTTGCCACAGTGTATGTCCTGAAGTGGCTCACTAATGAAAAGAGGATTAACTCTCCATTATTCTGAATTACCATTTTGTGAAATCACTAACAATATTTTCATTTATATACATATAACCCATGGGGGACAAATATTCCAGCCATCCAAGTGATTAACAAATAAAATTTATTAGATAACATGCACTTTGGTCTTATTTATGAAGAGAAAGATTAGGGTATAAAAATGCAGATGGCTGGATTTTTATCATCCTTGTTCTGATAATACCCTTAAGTCCATGACAGCAGAAGTGGGGAGCCCTGGCAGTTCAGTGTGGTGTGCACAGGCTGGAATGAGGGCAGAACCTGTGGGATGCCAGGCTCAGCAGGCACAATCCCACAGGCTTCAGCACCTCTGGGGCCCCACCGAGGTGCCCCACACCCAGCTCTGACCAGCCACCACAGGTGCCACAGAGAGGGAACAGGAAGGTCTCACCAGCTCACACAGCCTGCCCTTGGCACAGGCCAGCAGAATGAGAGGGAAGCTGTGTTCTGGGCACAGGGAAAGGGTGGGATGAGCTACAAACTGCCCTGCCTCACTGGGAGGGAACTCCTGGCCCCAGATACCGGGCTCTGTGCCTCAGTATGCCCTGAAGCTAGGCTCAGACCTTCCTGCTGGGGAGAACCCTCTGGGACAAGGGCAGTTCCAAGCCAGCTAACTTTTCATCCTTCCCCCATGAAATAAAAAGGCTGTCCTGAAGCAGCATTTCCAGGAGCAAGCAGGGTGTAGAGTTCTTTATGCAAAGGACATAAGGACAGTCCCTACACCAGAGAGCTTCCACATGACCCTGGGATTAACTCAGCTGGTCAGAGCAAGGTGCTAATAATGCCAGGTTCACAATCTGCATGTGGGCCATTCACTTACAATGACTCTTGTGGGTCCCTTCCAACTCAGGCTACTCTGTGATCTAAGGTGTGTGTCCCCAACACAGTGCAGTGCCATGAAGTGACTGCCAAGCTAGCACAGCACTGGTACATCATTCAGCCTGCACTAACTCATCTATAGCCCACATGGAGCACCACAAGGGGTGGGAGCCTGCTCCAACAAGCCTGTGCAGAGGTAACCCTGTAATCTGGCTGCCATCTGACTGCACTGGGTGAACGCTGTGCAAGAGATGGTCTCCTCTCCAGACAAGTCTGCCAGAGAGATCTGAGCTTTCCCTGCCTGGGTTTGTGCTAAACATTCATCCCTTATACCCACAACAGTATTAAGAACAACCACACAAAAAAAACCTATCTCCTTTTCACTTTTTATTCCAAGAGGGCTGGCGTAGGGAATAGTCTTCCTGGAGCTCTGTTTGGTGTATGTAGAACAACTAATACGAGATGGGGTTAGGCATCTTTGATTCCTGGGAAGATGCAAGCCCTTCTGCCCCCAACCAAATGCTTCATGGCAATTATTTCCAGAGTTGAAATAGCAAAGCAGCCCTTTTGCCCCCTTTTCCCTCCTCCTAGTTAAACTCTGTTACTTCTTACATAGTCTAGAGTCAAAACTGAAATACACGATTTATTAGAGGAATTTCAACTGATGCTTTCCTGTGCTCTAATTCAATTTAAAAATCCCTGCAGCAGATAACATTGGCAAGGCATAAAAGAACATAGCGTACTTGAAAGTTCAGGGAGCGTGTGGCTTCCCAGGACAGACAGAAACAAGGATTTCTCAGCAGTGGTCGAGCTTTCAGAGTGTTAACCAAGCTTCAAACTGAGCTGGTGTTCCAGTACCACGAACGATCATTTGCAGATGTAATTGCCCTGTTCTGAGGTGTAACAAATCAATGCACTGTGGCCACCAACTGTGATTACTGATTACATTGCTTTCTCTTCTTCCTTTCTTCCATCCAATGTTATGGAGCCATGAATAAAAGTAGTCAGTCCTTCAGCATCAAGGCAACAGGCTCTCAGTTATAATTCCTTACTAGACAAATAGCAGTTCTCATCAATTTCTAGATAACAGCCTAATCACTCCCAAAGTCAGACTGACTTAGATTTGTATCTCTGACAAACATTATCTACGCTGCTGAGTCTGCATGTAGAATTAGCATAATTCTGGCACAGTAAGGAAAAAGGCTCTCTTAGGGCATGGCTACTGGGGCAGATAGATGGGATTTGGTACTACACATAAACATGCAAGACAAGCGCAAGGTAAATTTACTACAAGCTGGAATTCTCAGAGCCCTTTAAAAATCTCAAGAGAGGACCACTTAGCTAAACATCATCATGATGTTTTAAGAAGCTTGGCTGAAAGATAGATCCCCTTGCCAGTGAAAGCAAGCCAATTTTTGAACAAAGGTGTACACTTGCCAATCAAAAACAGACTCCACAATCTTACACAGCTTTGGAGTAGGAAAACAGCAATCATTTGGCTTTTTCAAGCTTTATAGAGAAACAGAACATGACAGGCACAAAAGAGCCCAAACTGAGCAAACAAACCCCATGGGCACATGGGATGTCAGTGAAAAATGGACATCCTGCTTTCAGCTCTACAATAGCCACATGAAAGCATTAGCCAGATTTTTGGAATTAAAAGGACACAAACGTTCTGCAGCCAACACAAAAAAAAAAAAAAAATTTGGGAGCAACTACAGGATTCATTGCCTGCAAGAAAGGTGGATTTTTTTGGCAGGCTCTACTTGGACACTTCATAAGATCAAGCCCAACTCCACATCTTGTAACAAGTCTCTTACAGAACCACAAGGTTCAATTTCTCCCTTCAAGGGAATGAGACATGACCAACTGCTACTCTGAGACACCAGAGAGTCCAGAAGAAAAAATAAAAACAGAGCCCACAGGGAGATGCAGCAAACAGGGAATCTGCAGCTGGCAACATTGGAAAAAGAAGAGTAGAAGAGAGTACAACAGTACATGCAACATTCACCTGAACAGACACGTAGACGTGTTTCCTCTCCCTGTGTTGCTGAAACTCATGAAGGATGAGCCTTTAGGTGGGTCTTCATTAATGATAAAAGCCCCAGCAACTTAAATTTGCACTCAGTTCCCCTAGGTGCTTTAGATCCCTAGGCTGTTAGACCTACTAAATTCTTGCCAGTGGATTTTTCAGAAAACAAAATCCAGAGACTGAACTTCAATAATCACAAACCTTTGAGTTTTTGTTTCCTTTGCTGGTGAGCTCATCCAACAACATATTCCTCACCTCACTCTGGGAAGGCAAAAATGCAGGTGCAAGTCTGTGTTTGCCACAGAACTGGTACATCTGTCTTGAACAATGCTCAATCACACCTGGTCAGTGCTGCTCCCAGGATCCCACAGCTGGAGCAGGAGTCACTTACTTTGTGCTTCCTTGGGTTAACATTCTGTTTTGGTTGCATTCCAGTTTCTTGCACATCCTGAGAGCGCTACTTCATGGACAAGATGTCGTCAGGAAGCTGGAATGCTGGGAAGAAAAATGCATATACAGCAGTCAAAGTAGATCCTGATGAGGACAATTGTACCCCAGGGGCATTTGAACTGGAGAGGCTCTTGTGGAAGGGCTGCCCAAAGTACACTCACGTCAATGAAGTCTGGCCCAACCTCTACATAGGAGATGAGTAAGTGTACACAGTATCCCCTGTGTAACAGATAAGTGTACCTGGTATATCTCCTCTACACAGGGGATGACCCAGCTCTTCTAAACACAGCTCACTGACAGAGCAAAGTGTTTGAAACCACTGACAGATGTCAGAGCCTGGCATGGCCCTGACTCTTACTGCTGCTTCAGGAAAGCACAGAGGAAGTGCAGAGTAGCTGGTTGTGGCACCAGTTCAACCTGCAGAGGTTGAAGCTCGTCATGATCTATTTTTAAATGGTTAGTTTCAAGGAGCAATTTGTTATTTATCTCTGAGTGAAAATTGTTCCACTGTTACAGAGCATGGCCTGGATGTGTTTGCCTCACCTTAGGTTGGTTTAGGCCTAAAACGTATTCTTGAAAAGTGACTGAAGGGACAGCTCACCCTGCAGTAGTATTTCTGCATTTCCAAGCCTGTGCTTGTGGACACAGAACACTCTGCATTTCCAAATTGCTCAAGAGATTAAAGCAAACAGAACCCTGAGGAAGGCAAAGCTGCAGAGATGTGTCTCACTGATCACACCAAGTGTGATCTGGAAAAAAACAAACCCACAAAACAGACTTAATCCTGCTGAGCACAGGACTAAACTAGAAGCAGTCTATTCCAAGAAGCAGAGAAGACTGCTGCAGCAAGAGACATGCCATCAGAAAATCCCCCAGCCCAAGCCCTGAGCAGAGCAAGAGAGCTTTTCTTACCCCTTTGGCATTATTGGTCCAATTCCCATTTTCCTCTACACCCTGCACTAACATGACATCACTGTCAAAGAAAGACACAAGTAGGAGCCCCAGTGGCTCCAAAGTTCTCAATAACTTTTTAAAAGGTCCTAAAATTCATTTGTTGCCAGCTTATAAAGAGGAAAGATATACAGCTTTGAAAGTTACAAGACTCCTAATATCATCCACCAATTACTTCTGTGGCGCCAGAGGCAACAGAAAGACACAAGAATTGTGGTCTTGTACCAAGCCAAGGCTCCCACTTTTAGAGACAGGGATGGGGGAGAGAGTATGTGTGTGTGTGTGTTCTGTGGGATAAAAAATTAAACCATGGGAACAGCCTATCCAAATGATTCAGGAAGAAAAGGGGGTTGAGTTTTTCTCTCCACATCCTGCCCTGCCCCTCCTGTTAGATATCTCTAACTCAAGATTTATCATAAAGAACAGCCTCTTCTGGCATTTATTTCATACTTCCTTGTTTAGAATCGCCATCAGAATTATTCTGAATGAAGCTGTTAGAATAATTTTCCTCCAATCTCTGTGATGAAGCTATAGCTGTGCCTGCTGAGCAAAGGGATGTAACCAGACAAGACGTCAGTCTCTCAGCCCAGGACGGCAGTCACTGACTCTTTCCTGTAATCTTCCTGCAGCAGTGGCTTCTTACACCTTGTAATTTAGTAAAAGCTAGAAGGCATGACTCTGAATACACCACACACCTAGCACTTCATACAAACTAACCAGAGGAACAAAATTACCAACTTCTTGAGAGGTACCTAGAGCTATAACCTGTCAGGCTGGGCAGTGTGTTTCTGCTGAGGACTGGTCTTAAGTCAAGAGGAAACCAGTGGTGCTTCAAGGGAAAACAAGTTGCCACCATGACAAGACAAAAGAATGAGAAAACCAATGGAGAAGGAAAAACAAATGAGGAGCAGGTTGGGGGGAACAGAAATGAAACTTCACCAGAAAATGGGACTCCCCAAAAGAGCACAACTATTGTTATCCAGGCAAGGGCAAATTTGACATGGCAGAAAATCTGAGAGGAGAACTGGTCTGCATGCAAGATGCAGGCTTTCACTACCCTGACTAAAATTTGCTTTGAAATAAGCAAAGTCCACGGACTCTGATATCTTTCCTGGAGCCAGCTCCATATCTTACTCCTGACCAACAGCTTACCCCCTCAGTGTGGCAGGGATTTTGTATTGTTTTAAGATCTTGCTTTAGAACTGGTGGCCAAAGAGATGCCACAAGCCATGAACAGATGTTGGGTGCATTTGCATCTTTATCCGTGCTAAATTAAGGTTGATGTTGAAAGAATTTGGTGGAACTCATCAACAAAATCAAATGAACACACAAATGCAGTTTTTCTTCAGAGTCTCCACATCTGTGCTTCATTCCTGCCTCCTGCATTTACAAGGTTAACAGGACTTGTGACTGCTTATGGAAATGCTAATTAATTACCCTGACTACGTAACCACATCTTCCTTCTAATGCAACCCAGGCTATCAAGGAGCCCTGTGAGGCCACTCCATCCCTTTGTTACGAGGCTTCACTGCAGATGTTGCCCAGAGGCAATGAAATCTCTATGAGCCTGTCAGACCCAGAATAATCAAAGCCTCAAAATATAACATGCTGTGTTCAGCTCCAATTGAAATTTTCCCCCAGCAAGTTCCAAGGGCTTTTAAAGACCAGATACTGGAATTTGTATGACACAGCCCAGCAACAGGAATAAAACACTCTTGGCCAAGGTTTTGATTCAGTTGCTACTAGGATTAGTGTTTGCATGTATCCTCCTCATATTTAGAAGTCCTCTAAAGGGGTAGAAAGCAGCCTTGTCTTTCTCCTTTGTTTCACTGGCCACCTGGCTGCTTGCACAGGCAGTTTTACTGGCAAATTCCAAACCTTGGTTCACTGGGATCACATGGAAAGTCTCTGCCAGTTACTCATCTTGCAGTTTCTTCTTGAAGCTCTTCAGTTATGGCCTTATTACCTGAGATGATGTTTAGGCTTCCACATTTCTGAAGTTCAAAGAATATTTCAGCTGAAAACAGAGGCCTCCCAATTTGTTTTCCTCTTAAACATGCACTAGATCTCCTTAGGATTTAAGACCTGATCACAATTTCAGGTCTTGCCATGTTCTCAAACTACTCCCACAAAAAAAGAAGTCTTCTGAAATGTAATTCTTTACAAGTTAAGTATGAAAAAATTTCTGGGTATGCAGCTGAACCGAGCTTGCAATTCACAAAAGCTATGGTCTGTGCCTGTGCCTTGCCATGACTCATGGTCTTCAGAACTGATGCAGGTAAGGAAGATGAGTAACCCAAACCCACAATTTGGAGTGCATGATAATTAAGATAAATAACTAAACATGAAATATATGCATAACTAAAACTCATTCTCTCCTCTTACCTTTCTGCAGAGAAGCAATACAGCATGGCTTTTTCCAAGTGACTAAGTAAAAAGACAATTTACACTAACCTAGAATAAAACAGATGGGACTCAGGCTAGAAGACAGCTACCTCCCACCGTTTAGCATTACCAACTCGTAGCATCTACATCAGTATTAATCATATAAAAATAGAAGCAAATACAGATTTAGATTATAACAACACTCTTGAGGACAGAGTTTTAACTTGAGTAGAATGAGAACCTGCCAATTGTCACAGCAGTTTAACAATCCAGAAAATCAGATCTTTAACACTGGACAGTAAACCTCAATGCTCCAATGGTTTCCAAGACAAGTAACACTTCTCCATATAACATCTCTGTTTATCAGTGATTTCTAACATTTGATGAGTGACTGAAGCCAAGACCAAGAACTGACTGACGACAGCATGAGTGCTTGATGCCTTTGCTGTACAGAAAGCAGAGAGCTATTTCCTCTGTCTAGGTTGTATCACTTACAAAAACTACATCCACCATTTCGGGCTAGAGGAAAATGAAATACGAATCTTTTCTACCCCATATTCTGATGACCCCGCTCAGTGTTTTCAGTAGTACCTAAAAATTCTTTTAATGCGCACTGAGCAGGAGGTACCCAGAGAAATGGAGCAACACCTCAGAAGGAAAAGGGGATACAATGCTACACTATCTCCAGACTCCCTCAGTGCTAGAGTTACCAAGGAAAATTGGGTCAGTATTATTGGAAATTCTCAACATCTCTCCTCAGGAGGGAGAACTGCCAGATTTTCTTAAGAAAGTGTCAATATTGCCTATATTCAGCAAGCTTCTTTCTGACACTGACCATCTGGTAAATTATCATCCTGCATCAAGCTTGCCTTTAGCGCTAAGAAAATGGAAAAGTTCGAGAGAGGCGATTCCTCTCCTAGTAACATGTTGCCTCAGATTTCCTGGTGTTTTGTCAATCTGGGTCATGTCAATCTGTGGCTTTAACAGTCTATACTGAAACATGTTTGCATTGCACAACCTTTGCATGAAGTTTAAGAGACTTGGCTCTACTTAAAGTTGATAAGCACACCAGTCATCTGGTTGAGCAGTACCAGCTGTAAAGTGCTAACTTACCTGGAGAGGGAGTTGTTCTGCCCACACGTCCTGAGGTATTTTGGAGGATTACTTCCCTTCCTTTAGGTGTACTTATGTTTTTCTCATGAGCCACTTATCTTCCCTTTGTTAGCTGCTTTCAGTATACTTAATACTGTGTGTGAAGGTGCAGGCTGCCGTGCCTGCAAGTTCTTTTCCCCTCTCTTCCAATTCCATTGATTTGGGCAACATTCTAACAAAAGCAGCTGGGACTAAAGCTTGTTATGACAGTATTTTTGAAAAGAGAGAGGGGATTTGGTACAGTGGAGACAGCAACCTGAAAGAAAGCATTCTTTTTCATGCTGTAACTACTTACACATTGTTTCTTCCCGAAGAACACAGAGTTTGCTGCAGCACTTTCTATCAATCCTATGAAACTTAGCCCTAAAACTGACAGCAGGCACAGATAAAGTCTCAGACAGGCCCTCTACTTGCCCTTGCAGAACCCAAGATAAGTAAACAGTCTTTTGGGAACCATCTGAAAATGGATGACACTTTTGTCTGGGTCAGTTTCCCCTTTTGGTGAGTCTGTCAGTATCAATATATCCATATGTGAAAGTGATTTTATGTCCAGTTTTCACCACTGAGGTGGGATTCCCACATCAAAGTACTCCCCCTTGCCTCAGAACTTTAAAAACATGTTTATGAGTCCATCTGCCCTACAGTAAATGCAGGGTCACATCCAGCAAAGCACTGAGCTTTTGCTTAACATAGAGAAAAGGACTTCTAGGTATGCTTAACTTTTAGCATAAGTTTATGTGCTCTGAACTGAAGAGCTGATGAGCTTTTACATAGGACTAATCGGCACAGGCATCTCTTACTAAACTGAATTACACTGAAATTTTCATTGTTATCTCCCACTGCCACACTTCACCTTCCTTGCATGGGAACACATTCCAGGCAGACACTGGAGACCACAGCTGCACCATGTAAAAGGAAATCAAGTGCTAATAGCACAGATGGTGGAGATATACAAAATGAAAACAATTGCAAGAGTAGCCAAGTGCTTACAGCTTCACCTACACTGGCATTTGTAGCAAACTCCTCTTTACAATTCAACCATAATCACAAAAATGGAAGAATTAATCACAATTTAATAGGAAACAGCAGCACCCAAAGAGGGGAAAAGAAGAACATTCTTAGCTTGACTATTACACTCTGATAGTGAGCAAACTGCAAGGAAAAAAAAAACCTGATGCCTTTTCTAGTCAAAATTGAATTAGAAATGGAGTCATAAATCCTCCAATAAGGTAATGATTCATATAGTCCTGAACAATCCTATGCTATTAGTAACCTCAACCAATCAGATATTCACAGATATTTATGCCTGATTTATTTCTCTCTTTCCTCTACAGTATTGATACCTCAGGCATGGTAAAAACTGCAAGGAAGGCCAAGAGCATTCCCCTGTCCTTGGGGTGTAATCAGAAGGATCATGCATGATGAAACACAGCAAACCCCACAGGCTCTGGTTACAGTGTACAGAGGGGTGCTTTCACAACAGCATTGACACTGCAGACTCAGCTGAGGATGGAAAGCAATCAGTCCTTCCCACAAAGCCAGAGCTCACTGCTGGCTACGGGCAGTCCAAGCAAACATGTTGAGGGGCACAGTAACATTTCCATTTACAGGCACACAGGTCCCAAACCTGGGGCCCTACCAGGCTGTTTCTTGCTCTGCTAACTGGCCAGCAAGCTGCTGCAAAGCCAGCCTGACCCTAGGTTTAACTGCTACACTACAGCAGTGTCAGTCTCAGCACAGGCTCGCTCTGCCAGGTCATGTTTATGATCAAAATACAAAGTACTGGCTGACAGGAAGTAAAAAGCAAGTAAACCTGAGCCAGTATGACAAGTGGTGGTCCAGCTGGGCTCTTGGCCTAGATTTTGGGGAAAGATTTTACAAGGAAAAAAAAAAGGAAAAATTTTCAAAGAACAGTAGCGAAATCTCTTATGAAAATATAATTATCAAGTACAAGACAGGGGGGACAGAGAGAAAGATGAAGGAGCTAAAGTACTTTCTAATCTCCATATTAGGTTTGAAACCAAGCATTCTTGCCCTTGAAAAAGACTAAGTGTCACTTCAGCTTTCTTCACAAGATACAGATTCTGAAGCCCAAGGCAAGCACCTCTTGCAGTCCAGTGAACCCTATTTTCTATTACACAACAACTGTTTCTTCATGTCTCCACACAACAATATTAGAAACTTTAGAAAAAGCTTTCCATAGATGAAAGTGTCCAGGGTATCTGCTGTAAGAAAGGTGCCTGACCTTTACAGACTGTGTGCACTACCTTGCCTGCAGATGCAAAAGCCACGTGGCCACAGGACCTGCACTGACCCTGCTCCACTTAGGGCAAGTATTTTAGGTCTTGCTTCCACGAACAGGTTCTACAACACCTACACACATTTTGAATGATAGCTATTGCACTGAAAATGTGGAGAACTTAACAGATTTGAGTGCTCAGCACTGAGCATTCATTTTCTGGTAGTTTTTCAGATTAGCAATGTCAGTAGAAAAAAGAAAATATACATCCGTATAATAAAGAAAACAATTCCATTGGGTAAGGTTCTATTCAGTCCAAAGGATATTGCCAAATCAGTCTGCCTATCAAGCATAATTAAAAAGCAGATAACATTTTAAAGTCAGCCTAGCCCAAGCATTGAGGAAAACAGAGCATAAATTCCTTGGTACACGTGTAATTTGCTTTAAAAAAAAAAAAAAAAAAAAAAAAAAAGTTATTTCTCAGAAGATGATATAGTTACATCTGAGCATTTATAATTAATTTTTGCAACACCATTCAAGGTTGATACATTGCTGCTTCTGAGTCTATTTCCAGCCCAAGTTGGAGTTGGGAAACAAACGGAGCAAACAGAGTAACAATGTGCATATTCCCAACTTCCCACAGGTCAAGGGCAAAACAACTGCTAATGCATTTGTGATGCAAAGTGATTAAACCGATTAAATAAAAAGGAGGAGGATTAATTCCATCCTGGGCCTCAAATTCACAGAATTCAGCTACAGGCAAGACTGGGAGATGGAAGGGGAAGTTCAGAGGACCTTGGCCAGGCTGAGCTGACTGCTTATGCAAGTTACTCAAAGACAGTATACCTTCTTTCTGAATACCTGCTTGAAAACTGAGGCCACCCAACATTGCAAAATCAGGTCGTAGGAAACAGAACAAGACTGTGTGACTGTCAGAAAAATGCATTAGTTGCATCTACTGTGTCAAAAGGCAATTTCCAATCAAGGAAACAGGAAAATTTGATTTCATATAAAAACAAGTGTCAAATGTTAATGGCTGTAACCTATTGTTTGACATTGTCCTTGCTCAGAACAACTTCATAATTTAATTCTAATGCTATTTATTAACCTGAGCAGTGCTTCCAGAAGCCAAAATGTGACAGTATGTACAGTCCATCAAAAACTTGGGTTTTCTACTGACCCCAGCTACTCTGCAGTCCTACTTCCTCCTCAGCATGTAGTTCTCCACTTGCAAGGGTTCTCCTTGTGCCTGGGTCTCTGACCTGAAGCCCTCAGTCTTGCATGGATTGTAGGATACATGCTTCGGGCCAAGTCTGATGAATGAAAACCACCTTTTCTCTATTCCAGCATCAGGGAGGTAAAACCAAGACAAGCTTAATTTGAAAGCAGGAACTGTAGCTCACCTCAAGGACATCAAAATGAAGAGCAGTAGTTATTCACTGCACCACTTCAGCCAGGACATTTAACCTGTTTTATTTTAAGTACTCTCCATCCTTTCAGTATAGAGCTGAAGTGTCTTTGCTGGCAATGTGTACATACAGGGAATCCTAAGGCACAAAACCTCCTAAAAGGAGGGAGAAGAAAGAAAGTCTTCCTCAGTCAATCACTGCTATAGGAACACAAAAGGAAGGAGTAAGCATTATTTAACATGAGGTGAAAGTGGCAACTTACAACATTAGCAGGAGGATACTGCTGCTTCTCTGTGCTCCAGGGTCTACTAAACTTATTAGGTAGGCATCACCACACTAAGAGAAGCTTTTATTTAACTTTTACATGATTGTACAAGAGATGTGTGGCATTATTTCATGGCAAAAAAAACCAGTACTGTCAAGACGTTATCATTCCTGACCAGACAGGAATTTCTGCAGGGCAATATTTACTCAGAACAGCCAATGATCATGGGCTTAATTTAAGTAAGAGCAAGCATAGGTAAAACCTTCAGTATCCATATCCCAGTTAAGTGCTCTAATCATTAGATCCTTGACTGCTCAGAGGGGGGTTTTGACTTAGAGCTTGGAAAGGCAGTCAACTTCAAGCTATTGTGGGCTGTCACCACTAGAATTATGAAACACAGCAGGTAGCCCACCACCATGTCCTCTGTGACAGCAGCTACATTTACATGTGGAAGTGTTCAGGAAACATTCATGGAGAGAGGTGCTTTTGTTTGGAAAAAGCTTTTTTACATCATGCAGTAGTTATGTGAAAATATATTAACAGAATTAAGGTTATGCCTTTTTTTTTTTTTTTGGTAAAAAGCTTTGTAGTTTTCCTAGGCACTAATGCAACTTGACAGCTTTTTCAGAACAAAATTTTCCTAAAATAAAAGCTTTCTGGAATGGAAGAAAAAAGGTTTTTACATGCCTGGCCGTGAACTCTACATTTTTTAGGAATTTTATCCTAAAGCAAGCACCTACAGTGGGTATTGAATGTACAAATCTAAGCTTTCCTCTCTTCTCTGACTTCCTTTGTCCAAGGGAAGAGAGGACAAGAACAAATGAGAACCTTTGGCTAAATATATGAATACCAGCTTCCTCTGAATGCTAATATCCAATTTCCTTATATAGTTCTTTTTGCTTTAGACCACTGGTTTGACCAAACAAGACAGTAAAATGGAGTTGTGATAGGAAGTTATATTCACACAGGGATGGGATTTTAAAATTTTATTTATTTTTTATAGAAATGGAGAAAAACTCAGTAACTTCTGCAATATCATTTGATAGGACAGAAGAGGAGAACAGCATTCATGGGTCCTATTTCAAGTTCTGCCACTGATTTCCTTTTCTGACTTTAGCTAATTCCTTCTATTTCTTTCTGTATCTCAAGTTTCTTCTTGTACAAGATGGATTGAAGCCAGTATTGCCTATGTGCAAAGGTAAGGAGAAAGTAAATCCATGTTCAACATGCTCTAAGGACCTGGGGGAGATAATTAGGAACTCCAAAAAGCATGACAGCTTCAAACAGAATGACAATATCTTAAGATCCTTAAAATGGTAAATTATGCATTGTTAAAGCATTATCAGTTTCAATAACATTTAGAACATACCAAATCAGAGGTTTTCTTAAGGGTTTTTTTTGTAGTCTTGAAGAAGCTTCTTGAGTTACATGACAGCTCTTGTTTTGCCAGAAAAACCGCACTGGATCGCTACAGCCTGGAGAAGGCGGGATTCACCCACATCCTCAACGCGGCCCACGGGCAGCGCAACGTGGACACGGGACCGCAGTATTACAACAGCATGACCGTGGAGTACCATGGCGTGGAAGCAGATGATCTCCCCACTTTCAACCTCAGCCAGTTCTTTTATTCGGCTTCCAAATTCATTGATAATGCACTTCAGGATGAAAGAAGTAAGGAGGGTGCTGAAAATGGTTCAAACCGGTACAATATTTACCACAACTAATTAAAAGCATAGTTCCATGGCATTCAACCTTGCAGGAATGAAACAAGTCCAATACATTTAACAGAGACAATAAAACTAGTAGTAGGGAACTGGTTTAAGAGAAGGCAGTGATGTATTTAGGGACCTTCTCACTAATACCACCCCAAGCACTTTTGTGAAAGTTCTCATCACAGCTTGTATCAAGGGGTCCCGCCTGACAGATTTTTTTGTGGTTTTGATTCCTTCAAAAACACATCAGACAACTGGAAATTGCCTAGGTGCCATGAACATGCTGTCTTTCCCACCTTTTCCTAATTAGTCCCTATCAAGACAGGTTTAATGAATATTAGTTGCATAGTGGTGGGAGTAGAACACAAGTGGTCTCAGACATTCCATGCCATCATTCCACAGCTTCATGCTTTGCACCATTAGATTCTCTCTAGAGAGACCACCCCTCCTACCTGACCATCAGATCTACCCCAACCTGTAACATGTATTTCTCTGCTATCTTCAAAGCAGCAGGGAACTGATATAGCTCTGAGAGCAGTAAACTAGAAACGTTTCATTAAAGTGTTTGTAATTTCTCAGCTTGATTACTACAATTCATTATTTGCTGATCTCCAGCAGTGTTCTATCAGAAAGCTTTACACTGATGTGAAGTGCTACAGCCTAGGCCTCACACTGACTTTCAATATTACTCCTACTCCTTCCCCTCACATACTTTTAAAAAAAAATCTCAGCAGGATATTTTACCAGAAACCAGTTGAGAAACTTAAAACTTTCCTGCTGACCTACAGAGACCTTAATATCAGAGGGTCACATATCAAGTTTCTGTTCTTGGCTGTCTAGATCAGCTGCAGGCAGTTACGACCTGACTTGCTTCCAATAGCCAGCCAGGTCTTTACAATTTTACCCTTTCAACAAGTACAGTCCACACAACAGTCCCTTCCCTTGCTCAGGAGAAAACTTTGAAAGCAGATCAGTTTTAAAAATCAAAGTCCTAATAGCAGGAGAAACTGTTGCAGGAGCTTACTTGCTTCTGAAGAAAGATACCCAGCATTTTAAAAAATGTGTCTGAAGCACTGTCTTTGGAAAGGAGAGGATAACTAGCACACACCCATGTCTAGCTGTGGCTGGAGGCCAGAGGTCAGTGTCAGACTGGAGTAGCTGGAATAAGAAATGCAGAATTCCTCATTCCCACCACCCTCCTGTTCCCGTAAGACTTCAGTCTGCTGCACTGAGGTAAAGAAACAAGCACAAGGGAAGCAGCAAGGGCAAGAAAAAAAGCCTTGCTTCCCAATAAATATTGTAGGGGGAAAGGATGAGATGGGAGGGATATTAACCTTTTTGTTTCAAAACCACATCAAAGTCCAGGAAGTCCTGAGACAGTAGCAAGCACCAGCCCACACCAGCCGGAACACAAAGCCAAATTGAAGACCAACAGGGTGAACAAACAAAACAAATCAAACAAAAGTATCTGCACTCAAGTAGATGCTATAAATGGCAGTGATTTCTGTAGCTGTAGTAATTTCTGCCACATTCAAATGGCTTTTAAACAAGTTAGCTAGGATCTTTTCTGATTAAGACCTACTGTAACACTCATGAAGAAAAAGAGCAAGCTCTTAGCTTTCTCAGAGGGAAAAGTAAAATGTATTATGTACACCTCTTATCCCAGCCAGAGACATGTGTGAAGACACTATGCATGGCCCAGGAAGACACTGAAGTTTAAAGCATGACAAGAACTTTCCAATACACATTCACAGAATAGAATGACTCCAGAAGCTAGACTAAAGTGTGGACTGATGCCTCCAATGGAAGAAAAGACTAGAGGTACCTAGTGCTCTCCTCCAGCAACATAAATGTGTTATTTGTGAATGCACATCTAGTGCAGAAAGGTGTTCTGCATTTCAAGTGCCAAATGAACAGGCTATATTTTGTGCACCTTCCTGACTGACAAAGAGCATCCAGATTCCTGAACAGTAACCAAGTACCTGTCTCCAGTGGTAATGACATGGGATTTCAGTGTGTGGTGCTAAAATATTTCTGATCAGTAACACCTTTGCATTGCTTTGCTGCTTTGTATTAGAACTGAGCAAATGCAGAGAGGGGAAAGGGGGAGAAAGGAAAAATCCTCAGCTTGTGTGACCATGTGTTAATGAATTTACTCTGGCTGTATCATGTTCTGGCTGTATCTGGGATATGACCTTCAGCCAAATGATCAGATTCATTGAATAGATGTCTTCAGATAATGATTTTTGCTGGGAAGATGCTCAATAGTCAGTGCTGTTGAAACAAGTTGTCATTCTAATGAAGAAGGCCCTCTGAAACAGACCAGAAAGCTTGGCAATTTGGATGCTGTCAAAACAGTCCTAATTCTGACTTAACATTTAAAATGTTCATGATGATGAAGAAACTCCCTGATCAGAATAATATTTGTAGGGTTTAAGCATGGGCTGATGGACATAAGAACAGTTATAAGAGTAAGATTTAGAGACAAACTCTAATGAGTCACAATTATGCATGCTGTCATTCAGCTGGGCATAAAGCTTTCCCAAAACATGCAATTCAGACCATAGAACAGCTAAAATTTTTTACCAGTGAGGCCTGTATAACATGAAAGGAAGACATTCTTTTAAGAATTTTTTTAGGTTTCCTACTAAGCTACAGATTTAATACTCATTCCCTTGAAATTTTAGTTTTTTCAAAATGTAGTATAGAGGGGAATGGCATTTTCGCTTCACATTAAAATGTCTGGGGAAAATACACTAAAGACAGACAGAGATTTTAAAGAAAGCTAAGTGGGAAGAAACATATGAGAAAATTACAAAGACCTGAGGCTTTTGACCAAAGACCTCAACATTCTTGGTCCAAATGATTCTGGAAAAGTAGAATTTGCATCTACACAAATTTTCAAGAAACACAAACCCCAAGTCAAGTGAACAAAGTATTTCAGAGATCTCACCACTCAGCAGACCTCTGTCTCTGTGCACTGATACTGCATATTCTGGCACACCTTGAAGATAAAAGTGGTCAGAACCCAAGACTGCAAGAGCAGACTCCCTTTTGGGGAATGAGGGTTCAGAGTGTCCTTATATTAGAATGGAAGAGACTACAAAATAGTACAGAAGGGACGTGGCTCTGCAGAAGAGTGTCAGTGTTCTGCTGTAACAGGCAGTTGGCTCTTGACTATTCATACACAGCCAAGGACAGACTTCCTTTTCTGCAAACCAGTGGACATTTCAGAAGATTGTACAGTCATTTTTTGCCTTTGTTAACACAATAAGAAACGGTATTTTCTCCTAGGTCTCCTCCATTTGCCACCCACACAAAGCAAAGCGTTCCTTGTCCCATCATGTATTTTATCACCTCAACAGCAACAGATTTACAAGGTGGGAAGCTCTAAAGAGAAGCACTGAAGGGCTAAACAAATGCGTCTTTTCATCCACTTCAAATATTTGCAGTAATAATAGAATGGATTATCATTTTCCAGGAGAGGAAGAGGCACTTTTAGTTATCAGAAGGACTGGAATTTTGCCAAGATGCCTCAAAGACTATCTGCTGGGATTAGGATGCAGACTGTAACCATTAATCCTTTAGTGTTGGCAGTTCTTGATGCATCCATTACACAGCAATGCTACTTGTGCCAAGGCACCCTCTTGTGCCTGGAAGCAAAGGAGTTAACAGGCAGGAGTCATGGCTTTGCACCCAGCACTTCTCACTAGGCATAGCTGACAGAGATAAACTATTATTGGCCCTGATAGCACAGTTTTTATTTTTTTCTCCTGTGGCAATTCTGCTTAGCAGGGTGTTAGAGAGTGTGCTTCAAATCTACTTCCTTCAGCAGTTCAGCCTTTTCTGAGACCCCCTTGAGGGCTTTGAATCATTTCTGGAAATCTTTTGAAGTGTTTCAAAACCTGTCAATCAGACCTGAGCCCACTTACTGCTCTCTTCCTCCACCTCCCTCAGATACTGCTAACAGGGAAGGCTCCACTTTGACTTCCAACCTTGTTACTATCCAAAGCCAATGACTTTCTGCCTCTGGAAGTCCTAAGTTAAGCCAGGCAGTGTCACAAGAGTTAAACTGTAGCATGTTTATTCAGAGGTGAAAACTCTTGGCAAAGACTCTGCACTCACAGGCTATGAGACAGCCTCCTACTGCAAGGAGATGATCATATTAGAACACTCAGATGATGGTGGTGGTAAAACATTATTTGCATTCAACACAACAGGGTGCCAGCCAGAAACTTCTACAGAAGCTTTTCTATAGTGTAAGGGGTGGTTTCTTTCCACCCCCTGGTTATATCCCTATGGCCTTTTTTATCCTCTGCCCTCCAAAACTGGCATCAAGTGATGTGATCTAGATCTCAAAGGACATTATTGCCAGAACAAAAAAACAAAATCAGATTCGGTTACTTTTTGTGTCTAGTTAGAACTGAGAAAGGCACCCCCCATACATTCCATTTATTGTCATGGAAGGATGATCTGAGAACACACCAAACCCTCCCACACCCTTGCGCTTTGGCTATTATTCCCAAACACAGAATTACATACACACTGTTTGTGAGGCATGTAAGTCAAAGCTGCAGCAGGGTTTCCTATGGTACTCAATGCAGCCCCCAGGCCTTCTCTGCAAGCTTTGTCCACAAATAAAATTATATTTGGTGCAGGATTAAATGGATCAGCCCTATTGTAGATGGTGTTCAGCTGTAAGATTTTTCACACGAGAGAAAACTGAGGCTGCAAGAGAGGCTTATCGAATGCTGGTAAGGGTAGTCAAACACCAAGCAGAGCAGGGGCACTACAGAAACCTTCACTGTCAAGAGGAAAGGATCACCCAGTGTCAGCTCTGATGGTGTCCCTCTGTTTCCACAGGCAAGGTGCTGGTTCACTGTGCCATGGGCCGCAGCCGCTCTGCCACACTGGTCTTGGCTTACCTGATGATTTACAAGAACATGACAGTGGTGGATGCCATTGAGCAAGTGTCAAGGCACCGCTGCATCTTGCCAAACCGCGGCTTCTTGAAACAGCTGAGAGAACTGGACATAGCGCTGGCACTGCAGAGGAGGAACAGCAAGAACAGCCTAGCACCTGCTGAGCAGCAGAACAGCACCACCATCTAGCATTGTCCTGGCACGGCTGTGCTACTGGAAAAGAAAACTCCATAAAAGGAGGGGAGGGGAAGGTGTAGTTAATTACAGAGTCACAAGGATCATTTTTTATTTGCTAGAAAAAAACCCCAAAGTAATTTCAAATACAATGTCAAGATGAGAAAGAAGGGAAACCAAATTTAAAACTCCTCATCTTAGAAAGTTCCAGCCTTAGCAGAATTCTTTGTTACATCAACAAGTAAGTTTTTCTCTCTGCAAAAAATCCCCAAACATTTACAACACAAAAGCAAGCATAACTTAAAACTCTCTTCTAGCTAAGTATCCCCAAATCATGATCCTAACTCAAGCCCACAGCCTTTAATGGAGTGCAGATAGCACTCCTGAAGAAATCTTGCAGGAAAAACACTGAATTGTTTAGTCCAGAGTCCTGAAGGGTTTCACAGGAGTTTGTCTTTTTGTGCTGTTTCCTGGCAATTTTATTTCTTTTTTCACAGTGATAATCCAGGGCAGCACAGCAGTTAGAGAGCCTCTACATGAGAATCAGCTACACCATGAGCATTTGCTTTACAGGCAGGAATTCTGTATCAAACGATAAACTAAAAACTAACAAATATCTGTAATGTTTGCCCTTTGTCAAGATACAGTTGTCTTCTTTCTTGTATCCTGCATGAAATCTTGATGACTGCTGTAACTGAAAGAGGATTTGTCATCGATTCACATGCATAATTGATCACCCTCAGCACTACAGAAAATTGCCAGGCCCATTCTTTCTATTTACCATGCTGATAAAGAAATGGAGTTTGTTTCCATCAACCACCCTGCCAGATGGACAAACTAAACAGCTTACAAAACTGAGAGACTCAGACCGTGATCTAACATGGAAGATAAGTACCTTTAGCAGTCCTTCATTTCTGCTTATATCAGAGATTCTTACACTGTTAGTAAAAAACTGGTTGCATTTTGCCCACTGCTAGGGGATCAGGCAGCCTGAGTGTAACAACACTTACCATTGCTGTCTTTGCTAAGGGGCTGAGTGCAGCTTCCAGGAGAAGTGGCATTTGGCAGCTTCCAGATGTCTGTTCCAAAGACAAGTATCTTTCCTAGAACCAGGTCTTGCCTGAAGGACTCTGCTGGCACAGCTGTGCCAATTAAACAGTTCTGAAGTAAACATATTTTTCATTTACTTCCCAGCTTTTTTTGCCTACTGTTCTCCTAGAACTAATGAGACTAAATCAGAAAAGCAGAGCTTCTGGAACATGTGACTTCCACAAAGTGAGGCAACTCTTGCAAGCTGCTAATCAGCTGCTTCACAAGTGTCAGCACCGACTCCAGCTACAAGCCAGGTCTGCAGGAAACACACACACTGAACAAGGCAAGTTGATTTCCTTCTTGCCCACCACCAGTGGCACAGAGCATTCTGTAAGAGTGCATGCCTCCTGCCTTTTACAAGAATCATCTACTGCAATTCTGTGAAGAAGTTTTTGAACACAGTAAAAGCAAGAGCTCATTCCCCTCTGGGATAGTGCTAGAGCACACAGTCAGAACTGACACGACACTGCAAGGTGCATACAAGACAGAGAACAAGAACATCTGTCAAGGAAAAAACAACCTTCTTATTTATCAGAAATTTTAGTGCCATAATGCAATTCACAGCTAAACAGTTGTTATGGGAAAAGATGTAAAATAGTCCCTTGTCCTCCCGAAAGGAATTAAATTCTGAAATAACAAGATTATATTGGAAACTTGCCTGCTGTGCATACACTATTCATCATTTCCCAACCAACTCTTAACCCATATATTGTAAATACAGAATTTTAGCAATATGCTGGAGTCAGGATGCTGTTTCAGCTTAGCAAATATCTGAAATGCTAAGAAGGTTTGATTTGCTTGTATGTTACAGGCTTCAAAACTTGAAACTGAACAGCAGCAGATAAAGACCCAGGTGCCTTTTTCACTCACTGTGAAGTTACACAAATGAAAAATCACAAGACATAAAGCTAAACACACCTGAAGGCTGCACATAACTGCATCGAGTTCCACTTTCCTTTTTGTAAGCATAAAATGGCAAGTTACTTTGTAAAGATGAAATCAAAGTTTAAGTACTATGAATACTCTCTGCTTTCAATCAACAAATGTGACAATTTAAGGGCATGAACCCAAATATTTGTTGTATGGTGCTCTCCTTATCAGATGTTCTGAACTCCTAAAACACAAATTACTCCAGATTACCATTTGATCAGCAACTTAAGCTCTCATTCTGATTCACTATTTTAGACTGCTGCTCCATTGTATTAAAACTCAACAGGTCATGCACGTGAATCTGTAGTATCAATTTCTTGACTTGGTACCATCACACAGTAATGGTTTTATTTAAAGAAATACACATTTCTTTGACTTTAAGATATTTGAAGTATTACCTTTGAAGCTGTTTAATATACTGGAATGGGGACAGTTTTCAGTCAAGATGGCCACTCCTTTCACCTTAGCTAGTAACCTTACTGCAGTGACAGTGGCAACATTCACATCAGAAGCATTCTGAAAAATTATTACAGGGACTTTTTCTGGTGCAGGTTCACACATCCCAAATTTGAATTTGTCCACTCATGAGATCCACATATAGACAGCCTTCTTGTCTTTAACAGACCTTCTATTGCTACATGAGAAGCGCTCATCTCTAAGTATGTTTGTGTGTGCCCACATACACACATATACACAGAACCCATAGACTTAATGCAGAATTTGCATCATCTTGTCACCCAGCGACATTGACAAAGGAAGCTATTACAATTCTATCATTAAAATACAGTTCAAACACCATGTCTGTTACTATCATATATCCTTTTATATATATATATTCACATCTTCTGTAGGAAAGAAGTTTCATACATTAAATATTGACAACCTCATAAGGTATTAAATACATATTTATTAAATATTTTATTAAGATTATTAAAAATAATAATCTTAGGTATTCTTTATTTTCACAAGGTGTATGCAATTGTGATGAATAACCTACACTTAAGCTCTAAACAGCCTAATCCAAACCCCACCAACTGTAATGGGCTTTAGATCAAGCACATGAGAGCACTGTAACAAACACTGTTTCAGGAGGTAATTCCCATGCAACATCAAACTATGACAAGACACAAGAGGCTAAAAATGGCTCATCATAATTTATTTTATGTTAAAATGTACAGCTTGGGGGAGGGGGGTGTAGTTTTTTGCAGTTTTTATTTTTGTTGCTTGGGCGGGTCTTTTGTGGGTATTTTTTTAAGTGACTGACTAAAAAGATAACAGATAAATACAAGAGTGTCACTGGGTCCTATTTTTACATGTATCAAGCCTCTTCTGTTCGGCCCTTACAGTCACTCTGTACAGGTACAAAGGCTACAAAAAAGGAAGCAATATAAACAGACACAAATAACTTTTGCCTTTTTACATGCGATCTGTAAGCTTAGTTTGCGCTATTCACACGCTACTGCTCTATTTTTTCCCTTAAAAAATAACTCCAATATTTTATAAAGATAGAAAAATCTACAGATGGAATGAAAATGTAAAGTTAGAGGCATTTCCATAAAATAGCAACTTTACACCAAATTCACTACTTTTTTTTTTAAATCCTGCCAAGTATTTGGACATATACGAAAATGTTTCAAAACTTGACAAATAAACACTGAGATGTTTCAATCAACAAAAAAACATAAGTTTTTATAAAACAGAAAGCTGCCTTTTTTCCTACCCAGCCCCAAAGAAACTGGTCACAAAAATGGAAAAGAGTCTCAACTTTACACTAAACATACAGCAATAAAACCCTTTGAACTAACCAAAATGTGAATAGCTTTTGCAGCTTTTTTTTATTATTTTTACAAGATTTATAATTAACAAAAATATAGTTCTGGTTTTTTTACCCCTCAAACTAGGGTAACCTAATCAAGGCAAAAAAATTAAGAAATGGCTTACTGTTAAGCACAACACTTGTACAGTACTACAAAATGCACTGTCACTAACAAAGACATTAGCGGCATGCAGAAGTGTCACCTTCAGAAACAAAATAATACAATAAAAGAACTGCTAAAAGGCATTTACATGTGGGGAAAGGAGAGAGAAAAAGCTCATGATCCAGTACTGTCTGATAGTTTTGGAGTCTATTTATCCACATTTTTAATGGGAGCAGGCACATAAAATGGCTCTGAACCATCAGCTGCTGTGTAATTGCAGTTCATAGAAAGAGTTCTTCCTTTCCAGAGAACTTCAAGCTCAATGAAATAAACAAAAAATGTAAAACCACCTAATTCCCTCCAAAGAGAAGTTAAATCTCACAATGTTCAAAAAATAAACAAAAAAACCCAAAATGGAACAAAACAAAACCAAAGGAAAAAAAAAAAGAAAAAAACCCAACAAAGCATGAAATAAAGAAAAACTTGTATAAGGCTTTCTGCTGCATACAGCTTTTAAATGGTGCCAACAAATGTTTTTGCATTCACACCAATTGCTGGTTTTGAAATCGTACTCTCCAAAGGTATTTGTGCAGATCAATCCCATACGCCAGTTTGGTAGCGTCTCTCCCACGGGCCTACCTTCTCATGTAGGATCCATTGAGAGACTGTTTGGACATGCCTGTGTTCATGTAGCCGTGGTGGCCCGGAGGAGTGTACATCATGTTACTGTGGGGTGCTGTCTGCATTGGCTGCTGTGCATATGGCTGAGTTCCCATCATTCCCATCTGCATCTGCATCGGGTACTGAGGGGTTTGATTCATATACCCATGATTACTGTGATACCCACTATTCATCATTGGCTGGGACATACTGTAACCATTCATAGCATTAAGGGTATTCATATTCATGTTCACTGAATTGACATTATAAGCAGGGGCTGGCATCAAATTTACACTCATGTTCATGCCACGCTGCATCGTTAAGGTCCGTGCGGGCCCTTGCATGGCCACAGTCTGTGAAGCTCGCCCATAAATTTGGGGCTGATGGGCTGCAGCAGCAGGTGGCAGAGGTGTGGATTTGGTTCTTACAGAGACATGACCTTTGCTGGCCATCTGAGTCTGCAGTCTTTGGGTGTGGGATATTCCAATATTCGATGAAGTCATATTACGCTGCAAAAGGGGAGGTGGCAAATTCATGGGAGGAGGAGTAAGGTTGGGGGGAGGGGTCATGGTAGCCTGTGCTTGGGGTCCTCCGGGAACAGCATGTGGAGACTGGGAAAGCTGAACAAGCCCTGTGTTACTTAAGGGGGCAGACAAAGAGGCACTGTTTGCATAGGAAGTTACAGCAGCTGAATGGCTGTAAGGCAAAGAATGATCCATAAGCGTATTAGTTAACTGTTGCAGTTTAGCAAGGCTGAAGGTGGCAGATGGCTGTGAGTAATGCCCTGCTCCGAATTCACTCTGCCCCATTCTTTCATATAATCCAATGTTGGCATTGCTAGTCTCGGGGATTTCAGTCAACTGCATAGGTGGAGTGAAATTAGCAGCCATGCTGCACTGGGATAACTGTTGGTTACCGCTCGGAGGCCTTTCAACAACACAACCTTGGGGAGATTTTACATTACAAGTGGGAGGAGAATTGATGTTTGCTTGTTGCATCATACTGCAGCTTCCATTAATGTTAGATATCTGCTGGGTCACTGCACAGCTACTCTGTGTTAGGTTACTAGACGTAAGGCTGCTGTATGAGCAACTGTTTTGAGAAGAGTTGTTTCCACAGATACTACTGCCCATCGTAGAATCGTAACTGCTTGGGTTTTCATAGTTTTCTGTTGTGCTCTCGATACTTCCTAAGTCACTAAACCCACTATCTACAACTTGCTGTGAATGATCAGAAACTGAGGGAACATCCATCATTGGGCTGGTCTCCATGTTCTGCAGAGATGGCACAGAAATGGCACTTTGATCTGGGCTGATCTGAGCATAGCTGTTCTCTAAAGGAGCAACATTTGGACTATTAACAGAACGAACTGACTGGCTGGGATGAGAGTGCACAGATGAAACTGGGCTGCTGTGGTCAGACTGCTGACAGTCATCCAGTGTGGTCATCTGGGGACTTTGGTCGTTGTGGGCATAGTTCTGCAAACTTCTACAAGCCTCTTGAGTCTCTGCACAGTCCTGAAATGTATCTTCATGTTCACTTGTTTCTTGGGTTAGAGACTGTACTGCCTGAACGGTCTCTGAGTCAATCTCCATGGTCTCAGTACTTTCTCCCTTGAAATCGGAATGTAATTCTTCACCAGCTTTTTGGTCCTGGTTGTTGTCTGCATGATCATCATCAGATTCAGGCACTGGGTCTGAATCTGTAGCAAGTTCTTTCTGGTCACTTGCACACTCATCAGCTGCAAGGTCAACACCACAATCCATTAACTCCTCTTGATTTGAATTACCAGTTTGAACATTTACGTCTAAAAAAGATTGCTGAGTTTCCAGCATTTCTTTGAAAGCTTCACCAGGCAATTCCTCTTTCTCCACTTCTGTTGAACCCATGTGACTATCATCTTCATCATCTGCATCATGATCCTCATTGTGAGACGGTTCTTCATCCTCCTCCTCCTCTTCCTCCTGATCATCCAAATGCACAGACTCCTCCTTCTGCACAAAAGCTTCTTCTGCTTTGTCTTTTTCTTGATCTTTTGAATTGATTCCATCTTCCTCAATGCTCCTTTCTTCCTCCCCAGCTTTCATAGTATCATTTTCTTGTTTTTCAAAGGGTTCACTGGGTGGATGCAGAGGTTCAGGTTCTACTTCTTTCACCTCATTATCTGGTGGTGGCAGTGCTTCAGCTGGTTCTTTAACAGCTTCCTCTGTAACGGCAGGAACTGAACAGGGCTTGTCTTCAGCTACTTCCTTCTGTTCTTCCACCAGCACCTGATAGTCAGGCTCCATGGGAGTCTCAGGTGGAGTGTACAAATTAAGCTTAAAGCCAGGTTTTCTTTCTTTGCTTTGTCTCCATTTAGATGGACCACGTTTAACTCCTTTGGGCCAACCCTGCTTACTCTTTAAAGGTTCAAGATTGTCTTTAGTGCTTTCTTCCAACACAGCTACATCCTCTGTATTATCTTTGGGAGGTAATAGAGACAAAAAAAAAAAAAAAAGTCTTAGCTTGCAGACTAATCAATATTTTCCAATATAAACTTGAAAATAATTTATAAACTCAAAATGTATTAAGAAAGCATGAAACAAGAGTTATAAACAGGTCTCAAAACACAGTAGAACAATGCAGTATCTACAGCTCAAACACACTACACAGATATGTTATGGTTTGGTGGTCTTTTAACAGACACTATCGGAACCACCATTTATACATTAGAAAAATCCCAGAGATTTAAATGACAGGACATGTAAACTAAAGCAAATACTGTCCAAATATTTGACTTTCCACCTTCGGTTTTAGAATACAAGTATTCCTTCACTTTATATAGACATTGATCTAACACACATTCATCTTTTTTGACAGTAATGACATGAAAGTCTTGAGTTTCCTCTTTGACCATTCTGGAGGACAAGCCATAAAAATATATAATCATGCTTTAATACCAATACTGAACAAAGGTGGTTCATTCTAGTACTTTCTCACGGGCAACATCTCATGACATGGTTCACAAGAGATGATAGAAGGCAAAAGATAATTAAAATTACACACAGAGTGCATCAGAACACTAAACTAATCCAGTGACTAAAAAAAAGGACCTAAACACATTCACATCTTTCCTTTCTCCCCAGATACCACTTACACATTACTCCAGAAAAAAGGAAAATTATCAAGACATAACATGTTGCACTTGAGAGTGTAATGGCTTCTGTGATACTTCTGCATTGTGATGACATGGTCCATGGGCAAATAAAAAACATCATTCTAATTAAAACAGTGCAAACCTGACCACTGGGACAGAGCTGGAACTTGCTACTACTAGTTTAAATAGTTTCTCTTGAGAAGCTGGAAAAAGTGGTAATATTATAATGTACCACATCACACAAGAGCTGTTTGAAATAGAAATCAGCCCACGATCCCTCAACTGAGGATTGCAAGGATGGAACTTCCCATGCAATTACAAAAACACTGAAGTAGTAGCTACTGGCTTCTTAGAGAAAATACATAGACCTGAGAGTCTAGTTATTAATTTTGGAATTAAAACTCATAAGCATAATTTGAGGGCCAGGAGGTCAAGGGAAGAGTGTACATTCAGAACAGCTCATGAGTAGTTTAACTATCCATCCATTAACTTTTCTGACAGGAAATATCCTTGAAATCAAACTAGAAAAGCAGCTTTGAAAGGACACAGTTAAAACTGTCTCTTTTGTGGGGAAATAAAACAGGATACTGGTGCTGAGGATATATTATGCTACAGAAGCACAAAACATTTCACTGAATTACCAACAATACTGAATAGAAAGATATTTGTATAAATCAAATGTTACTTTTTGCTTGTATCCTTTACCACTGACACAAAAACTATATTGGACAATATTCCAGTGATACCCTTTGCACTGTTGAGTATGAAATGCCCTGCTGTAGGGACATAGAAGTTGTTTTTGACAATATGACAAGAACTTCAATGCCTCAGGCTGGGTAAGATTTGTTTCCTGAACACAAAAAGCAAATTATTTTAATAATAACAACAGCTAAATACATCTCATTTAAAATTTCCAGATGCATGACAAAAATATTTCTTTTGAAGGCAACCCAACAAAATTATTTTTGTGAAGATATGAGAACATTTTAAGTTTACCTGTACAATTTTCATCACGCCTGTAACAATGAGTATCTTTCTCCTCCTTGTTCTGCTCTTCTTCCTCCTGTTTCTGCTGCCCAGGCTGATACTCAAAAGCTTTTCTAATCACAGGCTTCAAGTCATCGTCTTCTCCATCCATCTCACAGGTGGGCTCCAGCTGTGGCATGGGACGCTCTTCATCAGAGTTATCAAATGGCTCATTCAGCACCTCGGTAGTTTCAGAAATTGTCTCTGTTGTAACACTGCTATTTATCCTTCTGCGTTTACGGCCCCTTTTCTTTTTCAGTATGAAAGGTCTCTGAAAAATAATTCCACAAATCAAACTCTTCCTACATTCCTGTTCATTAACTGATTCTGGACATAAATTTTTGTAGAGTGAGTTTACAATAATCGATTTACTCATTCAAAAAACACCTTATGTGGCATCAAATTCAAATGTAGACAGAATCCAAAAGTAAAATGTCTAAACAGTTAAAATAGTTATGTATACAAACCTTTCTGTAAGTGAAAACGAAGACTAGAATTTTCTTCATATTGTAGTGTCTTTTACCTTCTTCCGTCAAATAGCATTCATAGCACTGTTACATAAATTGTACTTACACATTTCTCCTCTGTAGATTTATAATTCCACAACAACCTTCACAAGTACCAAAGCTTACTCTTCAACATTTCAGGTTTCTGCTATTTTTAGAAATAAGTATGTACACAGAAAAAGAGATAACATCGAAGAAGTGCACCTCAAGCATCCTACAGTTGGCTGCTATAAAAAAAACTATTCAAAATTTTGTTTTTCTATTATTATACATTCTCAGAGATTTATGGTTACTTGAAACTAAGCTCACAAAGTATAACCAAAGAGACAATCCAATTTCCTAATTCTCACCAGAGACACCTAAATACAAAGGCTAAGGTGAGTGCTTTAAAACTTTGGGATTCTTAAGATTACTAATTTAAGCAACTCAAAGAGTTGATTTTTTAAGGAAATTAAGAAATTAGTGCATGGCAGAACATAGCAGCAACCAGAATTTAATGTTTAAAGTAGAAAAATATGAATTTTAAAAAACCCGTTTGTTTTAACAACATTTCTTTTCAAAAACAGTATTCCCCTTTTAGGTGCTCCTATATTAAAAAAAAAACCATAAAAAGACAAACCCCACAAGCTGGACTCCATCTTAATACAAAAAAAGAAAGAACCATTAAGATATTGAACAAATACCAATGCCAAACACCAGAGGGCAATCTCTAGTTTAAAAATTAACAGAAAATTCTGATTTTTTTTCTTTTATGTCACTAGTATTTTATAGATCTGTGAAAAATCCGAAAGACAAAAACTGGATGGAGTGCAGAAAAGAGAGAAGTAGTTAAGTGTCCAAATAACACTTAAAGGATTAAAATAGTCTAATAAATGTTTGCAAAAAACTAGGTTGTTATTTTGATGGTAACTATTTGACTGAAATCAGAGACAAATGACTTTGAACCGAAGCACTGAAGGAACACACCTTTCTCTTCATGGCCAGCGACTGGGGCTTCGTCAGCCGGGGAGGCGAGCTCTGTTGATTCTCATCCCCGCCATCCTCCTCACTGCTTTCCTTAGATTGTTCTGTGCATTGCCCTCGCTCCCCCACCACGGCCACACTTTCTGGAGATCGCAAATATTTATTTTTAGATTGTACTTTTGCAGGTGATTGCCTACTATTAGTTCTTGTGGAGAATATTTCTTGCTCTTCCTTTTCCCAGCAGCTAGCTTGTTCCATAAGACGCTCAGCCTGAAGGGTTGAGGTTAAAATAACAGGTCACTGAAACAGCATTTACTTTGCCATATCCTTTACATTCAGCTAAATAGTTAAAATAAGTCAACCCTGATTAGCACTGCTAGCTAACCTAGCAACAACATTTCAGCTGAATCATCTAGTTGTTCCTTTACAACAGTTAACAGATAACAAACCAAAGAAGATTGCATTTCATGGGATATTTAGCACTGTTAATGATGCAGCGAATTGATTTAAGTCCTTTAGCACTACATTACATGCCCACTGACTGGATCACTTTGAGCAAGTTGAGAACACAAAGAATCGATTGAAAGTGCAGCCCCTGAGCTCTGCACCAAATTTGATCTGATTACATGCTCTTTGACTACCTCAAGAGTGATAAATACAGCTCCATGACAAGCGATTCACATTTTAAGTTTTCATATGCATCCCCCCAAAGTTACCATGTGTTGCTGCAAATCTTCCAAAAATTCTGCATCACAATAGCAATATGTAGTGGTCAAAGCTAAATCTGCTCTATTTAAGACAATCTAATGTTGAATATTCAGAGTTATGAAAGCCAAAGGAAGAGAAATTCGGAAGATATCTCTGATATTACCTCCTTTTCTGCTTCCCTCTCTTCTTCAGAAACCGCAGCATTAGAAACTAACAAAGGAGTCCATCTCAAGCTTTCAGGATCTACTTCATTGATACGTGGATTTGCTTTCAGTTTCTCCATATGACTTGAAATCAGCTTTTCCCTTCTAATAATTACAAATCTACAATCAAATAAACAGTAATGTAATTTAGAAAGGGATCACATGGAACAGCCTTTCTATAGTTGACATCCTTTTGCAAAACAACCTGTGAAAAAATATGGGCAAATGAAAGGATCCATCAAACTAAAAATACCAGCTTACACACAGTGCTAACATCCCTACACCACTGACTGTTTACTGAGAGGAAGTGAAGGAACAACAGTTTATGAAGTGAAAGCTCAATACTAACCATCACTAGGGCAACAGAGAACAAAGTCAAGGTTTTATAGTTGACTACCCTAAACCTAATTCAAGAGGTTTAGTGTTGGCACTTCAATCACTGTCAGAACAATTTCTAATTTTAATATTACATACAAACATAGATAGAAAACTCTGTGGATCATCAAGTCAAGAGTGAGAAAGTCATAATGTTACAGCTGAAGACAAAACCACAGGTTTTCTAACGAAGCAAAAAAATACACTTTAGTCCTGCGCTAATGAAATATGACTTTCCAATTACTATGAAGTGGCATTTCAAAAGTAGGTAAAGAATAATAAAATAGCACGGTATGCTAATATATTAGCACATATCCCATCAAACTCCCCTGTTACAAAGAGCTATCTGAACAACAAGGATTAGCTAGCAGTTCAAGCACTTTAAAAATCAGGTTGGTGAAGTAACAACATTCTGTCAGTGAAAAACAAGATTTAAAATAAGAAATCAGATCGAGAACCCTTTTCCAGAATTGTGACAAACTTCTACTTCACTACATATGCAAAAAATTTCCCTTAAAGTACATTTGTCCTCAGGCTGTCCATAACTAAGTACTCCAGAAGAGGTTTAAGGCAATGCCAGCACTCCTCTTACTACTCTCATACACCACCTTGTAAACCAATCTCCTTTTTGAAGACTTGCATTCTTACTGGTTCAAAAATTACTACTTCTGAATACTAGTGCTGGGTCACATAAAAATTACTGAGGCTGAACTTTTTCTGATTTTAATTTTACTGTTTTGGCAGGCCAGTGTTTGTAAGGCAGCTTTGCTTAATTATTAAGTTTCTATGATTGGAATATCCAGAAAGAATGAAGATCATCTTCAGAAACACAAATACCATTGAAAGCCATTTAAGACATTTTATGGAAAGAAACAGACCAAGCAAGAACAACAACCCAGAGAAGTTCTAAATACCCATCAAGAGCATGAAGAAAGAAGATATTCACAATACAGGAACTCACCTTCTCGGTGCACTGACTTTGAACATTGATAATGACATTAAATAGAAACTTGTACTACCAGTACCTTGAGCAGGAGCACTTTGTGTAGAGCTGATCTGATCCCATGGTTTACATGAATTCAGCAATGATTGAAAGAGGAGGTGTGGAAAGAGCGACTGCCACCCACAAACACCGTTTTTTTTCTCTTACTGGTATTCAAAGCGAAATATTTGCACAGCAAGAGCTGGGAACACTTAGGGAAGGTTATACTGAATGAAACAAAACTCTTAACTGAAAATGTTTTGAGCTGGCCACATATTTCTAATAACCATTAACATGAAAGAGCATCCAAAATATCCCCAGGAAGAAAAGCTCTGTATGTACGACCCCCCCACACTGACTTCTACAATAAGATGGTTATCACTCATTTTAAAGTCAAACTTTTACACAGACATTTTCCACATCAACTGTTTTGTAAGTAGAGAATGTTTCGTCTCCGTTTTTAAATTTTTTTACAAGATTCACTCACCTGTCTTCTCTTTTATCTATCATGCTATGTTGCTGTAGGGTTGTGGCAATATCGTGTGGACACATTCCAGTAGCTCGGCTCATTCCTTTGATGCTGATTTGTTTTTCATGGTGGCAGTTCAGGTATTCCAATATGACACTTTTCCAATAAGCCAAGTAGGAGAGACGACCCAGATCAGACAACGGTTTTTCAGGGGATCCTGCTTGACCCTCTCTTCTAGAAAGCAAATAACCTAGAATAAAAATAAACAGGATACCTTATGGAGATAACAAAAGCAAGGAGTTTTAATTAGCCCATAAGAAAGTTGGAATTAATACAAAAGATCATCAACATGACTGATTGAACTACTACAATGTCTTGCAATTAAATAAATCCTCTCTATAAAAGAGATGAGTTTTCATCATTAAAGTGCCCTAGGAAAGACCAAATTCTTGTGAGTGACTCAGATCATATGTTATGAGAATCAAACACGAGCCAAAAACCATTTTCTAATAGTAAGGCAAGGATGAGAAGAAAAAGCCAACATGTTTTGGAACAGGTCCCATCATACACGTTCTCCTTCAGAGCTACAACTCTCTGGTCTTTTGAGAAACATTTACATCACTGTAGCAGTACCAGTGTTACTGTCAAATGAGTTACACCACTGAAGCCAAGAACTTGCAGAAGAATCTCAAGAGGAAGTATCATGGGTAATATCTGTTAAGTCATTTTTCTTCAAGAAGCCCCAAGTGACAGAAGTTTTTGATTAAACAGCGAGAAGTTGTATTTTGGAGGTAACATAATTCACAAGATGAATTACTCAGATAATTAGTTAAGAGAAATTATTAAAAAATAATCTCCTTTAATTCACATTTAAGAACATCCATAATTCCTGCTTGCAGTCTTCAAGACAGTAACTGATCCATTATTACACAATATACCACCTTCATTTTATAGTCTGTGTATGTTGTAAGTCCCTTTTAACTGTTCAGCTCTAAAAGCATTTTACAATTTAGAGTAGAACACACCTGCTTGGAGATACAAGAAGATGCCACCTGTAAAACCAATTCAGTACAGAGAAAAAAATAACACCATGAATAACAGGTATCCTTTCATCGTAATTCATCCCTCCATTATACGTATTCTGCATTGTGCCTTTCCAAAAACTGCCAACAGGCCTTAAACAACCAGGTTTACAAAATGCTTCCTCCACCATAAGCACAGACATTAAGTTTATGGAATTACACTACTTAAAGTCATTTGGAATCCACCAAAATATACAGTTCTTGTGCCTTCCAATATTTTTAAAACACTTTTTTCCCCTCAAATTTTTCACTTTTATTTTTCAAAGACAGATGTAAAACAAATCTAGTACAGTCATGTCATGTTTATTAAACAAATCCTACTAACCTCTTCACAAAGTTTCTCCCAATCCAATCAGCTATACATTAAAAGTATATTATTAACAGGTTGCATATGACAACCAGGTTTAAGAGAAGCAGTGGCTGTTTCCTTATTTTGCTGTATGGTCTACCATACACAAACCACATACAGAGGTATTTTTCTTAGATAAAACCACAAAATACACATACAAATATTTGTCTATTTACTCTGCCTGAAACATTGGTCTTCCCTTTCTTGGACACAATACCAAAGGTCCACAACAGAATTTAGAAAAAACGTACTCAGATATGCATCGTAGTCTAATCTCCAGTTTGCCTAAAGAAATTTACATAGAAAAGCAGGCATCATACTATATCTCAAGTGATCACAACACAGATACTGAAATAAGTAGTGTGCCTTTCATATCTATTAGCATGATTTGTGATAAAATGCCAGAGCTTCAGGAATACCATCCCACATCTGCCTACTCCTACAGAGCTACATGAAGCCTGCCTACATCTGCATGGTACCACTGCAAACTCACAAGAAAATTTATTTTCTTTTACAGAAGAAACACTACCATAAAAATTAAGGAAATTAAGGTATTTTAGCATTTAAAGTTGCAGCATATTAACCTTTTTTAAACTAGATTATACATTTTAGTATGTCTTGGCACTACATGCAACTACTGTTGACAGGAAACATCAAACCCCACATTCAACACCACAGTGCATCCTGAATAGTTTGAAGGTAAAGAATTGTTGCTTTAATTCCAATTGCACAAAAGCAGACCTATAGTGTATAGTCTATTTTGCCTAATTCTAAACAAAGCTTCACTTTTATCAAGAAAGACTTCTGGATCACCTTGTGTGCAACATACAAACCCAAGTTTTATGCTAAGATGTCACTACTCATAAAAAAACAGGCAAAACTGAGGTAGGCAACAAAAGTAGTGACAGAAGCCTCAACATAGGAAAGAGAGGAAGAATAACCTAGATTTTAAAAATGAATCCATGAGAACTTACTGCTTCAAGTAACTTTACCCTCCAACCTCACATGTAAGAAGTCTTGGGCACTAATACAAAACGTTTGTAGAGTTTTTGTAAGACCTAGGTTTCATTCTTTCATTTCACTAACCTCTAAAGTTACTTGGACAAAAATTCTTCCTCTACTCTCATTTTCTTCATAGATAAGGGGGTTGCACCAATAATTTCTTGGTAAACATATTATGAAGCTGAATAAAAAACCACGATCCAAACAAGAGCTTGGAATCATTACTTGGACAACCACAAGCACCTTTAGAGTTTTACTAAACTGGCTTACTGCATCTTTCCTGTGTTTGGGGATTTAGAGACTGGTTCTTAGTGGCCATTTTCACTCTACATTAAGGCAGTGAAATGTTACCTCCATGGCAGTAACATCTGTCAGTAGTCTTCCCCTACCTTTCTAAAATATAACCTATGCTTTTCCAAGATACATTCTAGAGGATCAAAAATATAAATTAGAGGAAACAATCTTGGATACATGTAGCAAGCACTGAATGGAAAGTCTCTCTCAAGAGATTCTGTGATTCGAATAACACCTATTAAATGAAACTTACCAAAGAGATGCCAAGTCATTGATCTAAATTGTAGGTAATAAAAACACTGATCTTGGTAGCTCATGAATCTATCCTGAAGCATCTGAAATGAGCACAATACGCCCCTGTTAAACAGATACCTGCAGCCTCACTGTGTCTACCTAATCTTAATAATGGATAGTGTCCAAGTGGCAATCTGAAAGAACCTTCTTCAGGTAGAATCCTTGATATCAGATTATGAACAGTAGCAACACTCACAGGACAAAACAGAGCTCTTCATCACCCACCTCCAAGAGTAAACAAGCCAGACTGTATACTACACAAAAAACTAAAACCACAACAAAATCTAAGACCTAATCAAGAACAAAGAGTTGTCTATCTTATCTTCTGGGCATATGAGTGATAGTATCACAAAATTCAACTGCCAGAATATCATTAATGATTTTCATTTCTTGCTTTATCTCTATCCTCCACAGCAAAGCAATGCACCAAATGTGATTTACAGTCTTTAATTTCTGTCACATAAACATCCTCAGAATCACTGAGGTTTCATCTTATCCAAGATTTGAAACAATTAGAAGAAATGCAATCTGAGGAAGGGAAAGTTCATACACATACATACATTTTATGCCTTCAACACAAATTAAGGAGATAATTAGGCATTAAAACATAGATTTAAACAAACTGACTTGTAATTATCTAGTAATTTCAATCTACAGGATTCCTAGTAACGGCCCTGAAATAGCTACAGAATCCACAACACACTTATGTGAAAACAGTAACTTTAATACATCTGTGCCAGTCTCCAAAAACTTTCAGTTATTTAACTACTAATTTTTTTGATACTTGGTTCTGTATCTTCAAACAAGTTAAATAGCATGAGCTCAGAGGTCCAGGCTTCATAGCAGGACAGTGGCCAACAGAGAAAACCAAGGGACTGTCTGAAACTGGCAACCACTACCTGAAACACAGGCAAACAGAATTAGTCTGGCTTCATCCAGACAATTGGAACTATCCAGACGAGTTTAATGTTCACACTTTCTGGTATTTTTTAAGAGCTTGGTAATATTTGTTAAGTATCACTCCCTTTTGCAAGCAGTGCAGTGTCCATCTTCCTCCTCCGTTCTGCATTTACTTGTGTGCTTACTAGAAGAAATTTATTGTTATGCCTGCTGTGAGGTGAACAGACTTATATCTCACCAGCTTTCTCCTAAAAATCTTCCAAAAATCAGAATCAGATCAGTCCCTTTTCACTCCTATGGCATGAAAGCAGTTTCATGCATACTTCAAATTACAAACTGCCAAGGGCAGCTATTTCATTAAGTCCATATCTCCAAATGCCCATGACACATCCTTCTTTCCCTACCACACACACTCCCAAACATCACCACCTCAGTTTCATAATATTAAGCAAAAATCACAACACAGTTTTAAATTTAGCTTGAGATAGCAGAATTGATTTTTTTATCTACTGAAGGAACACACTTGTTCTTTTACTTTAAACATGGTAGCAAATGCAGGCTAGCCTTCAAAGGTGTAAGACAATAGAGATGCAGACTGCACAGAGGCTGGTGAAATACAAAGCAGCAGCAAACAAAGACATTAAACAACTGGTACACAGGGAAAGACCAAATGAACAAACTAAATCTGACAGAACAAAGCCAAATGAAGTTTGAAGATTTTTTTTAAACACACTCTTGAAATCTGAGTGCTCTCAATACAATTTTATGTTCTATAGCAATGAATAAATCAATTTGTCATTTCATTTTGCAGAAAGCTAAGGGTGAAAGGGACCACTGGAGGTCATCTTGACCAACCTCCCTGCTCAAGCAGGGTCCTCCTAAAGCACATTGCTCAGGATTGTGTCCTGACAGCTTCTGAACATCTCCAGGACAGCAGACTCCACAAACTCTCCAGGCAACCTGTTCCAGTGCTCAGCTCCCCTCATATCCATAGTATCTGTTAAATAGTCAAAGAACAGACATCTAGACTGAAATGTTCAGTTTCCTTGAGTGCAATTAATATTGACCATAATAATTATAAAGCCATTAGGCTTGCAGTAAGCTAAGGAATTAATCCTGATGCAAGCAAACAAAAAAAAAAAAACCCAATTTATGAACTGGTTGTAGGTGTTTGAATTACACTTGTTTGTGTTCACACAAGACTGCATGGTCACACTGTTGTTCAGTTACACACAGCAACAGCCAAACCATGGAAAGCATATTGCACAGGATTGAATGAAGACTTTGTGGTTTCCTATTCACCTGAGAAGCAAGGGAACTCAGCTAATA